GGTGGTCGGAGCGGCCTGAGACGAGACGATTAATTCGCGGCCCGCGATATTTAGAGCGCGCGAGAGATCACGGGTAAAACGTCGCGAGATCGATTGTTGCCGAGTCCCTGTCTGTCAACCGCGGGACTGAAGGAACTGCGAACGACCCCCGCTGATGCTTATTCTCGAAAGAAGACACGCGACGCACGCTGGATATTGGGAGCTTGTACTGCTCAAGGGGACAACTCGCTCGCGGATGTTGGATTACACAATCGGCCGCCCGGAACAACGTCCTTATTCGCGGGAGAGACAAAGGAGGGTACATAACGGAGCGAGTCGCGAAGCAGTGACCGTCAAAGAGTCGCGTCCGATTATTCTTTTTCTTTTCCGAGATTTAGGTCACCGACAGATTTGATAAGATAAAACACTTCTCCGCAGCTTTCTTCATTGTTATCGACCGTTCGTGACCGATAACGAGCTCGCCCCCCTCTCTCTCTCTCTCTCTCTCTCTCTCTCTCTCTCTCTCTCTGTGAAAGTATTCGCGAGATTATAATTTCGTGCGCGCGTCCGCGTGCGTGTGCGCCGCTCGTCGTCTCGAGTGTCACGGTTAAGCGATACTCGAGCGATACCGAACCCGATATCGTATCGATACTCACGATTATCCGTACCGCGCGAGCGATCAGATCGTGTCGCTGATGATTCCGCACGCCGCTGGTGTGAGGTAACCGCGCCGCGTGTCGCCGCTGTACGGCTTTCCGCGCGTTATACGTTTACTGCTTTCCGATATCCAACTTCTGCACCTCAATGAGCCACGACGCGCGATCGTTCGCGTGTACCTATAGAACTGGCGGTCTCTCTCTCTCTCGCTCTCTCTCTCTCTCTCTCTCTGCCTAGCGATCGATAACGATCTGTATTGCAGTCGGGACGTTCGCCCCGTTCGTGCGGAGGTCTTCGACGCCTCACCGATCGCTGAAGAGGCTATTTGCCTCGCGCTGGCGGTGGTAATAGCGGCGCATAGTTCCGTGGCTTTATTATGATAACCGAAACTCCCGTCGGAACCATTAAACGCGATATAGATAGCCTCCGCCGCGGGAAAATCGGTGGCCCTTAGACAAAAAGCGCGTTTTCCCTCGCGGCGAAAACGCGCGCTACTCGCGCGCACCTTGCGCGTTTCGTGCTCGGCTGTTGCCGCATATTACGAAATAGCCGCGAGAAGTGTCCGCCATTTGTATTATCGCGCTCTGGCGCGGCGTCGCGTCGTCTCTGCGTTTGAAACGCGCTGTATCGCGAAACGAGTGCCGTTTCGTTAAGACTTTGTTTGTTGGCCGGGAACGGTATTCATTTATTGTGCATCCACTTGTCAGAGTATTTCGACTTGACGTGAGCACAAGGATACGTAGTTGACTCTGATACTCGGCGGATGGCGAGAAGTTCGATTGTGGTGGCCATCTTGGCTGCTTTATCAATCTTTCAGGATGTTTCGATACGCCGACGGTGTTCGCGGTTGTCCTCCGACAGACCGGTTTTTTCACCACCTTTGGCTCCCTCGACAGGTTGCGGCGATGGTCTTATCTTTTATGAGACTATGAGATTAATAATGATACGAGGTCGGCGATGATCGGCCGAGATCGGAGGATGAAGGAGACGGCGAGAGAGGAGGAGGGAGAAGAAGAAAGAGAGAAACAGTGTTCGCGCAACGGACAAATACAAGACAATGAAGATTAATGCTTCGGCCTCGTTCTCTTCCCCTGGCCGCTCGCTCTCCGGGTCGACGGCATCGTGTGAACGTTTCGGTAATCCGTGGGGAGAGGTGTCCCCTCGGACACGACTTTGGGACTGCGCGATCTCGCAACCCTGACCTCAAATCTAGCTGGCCGTGGCCGGCGAGAATCTTTGTGGTGAACACCTTCAACGCAAACGTGTTTGACGCCGATTTTGCCGATGACTCACGAGGATCAACGGTGCTGTTGGTCGTGGGCTAATTATTCACATCAGTGATCCTGCGAGCCTAATCAGTGCGTGATTCATCGACATGGACAATCAGACATCGATAGTCGCGAAATATTTCGTGCGAAGAGACGGGATGGACTTTTTTCTCGCTCAGGCTCACATGCCTGTGCAAAGCCGCGAGCAGGTTGATTTTGCGGCTATTTATTATTAGCATGTAAATGTTCCACATGGAACACAAGGTTTCTGTTATGTTTGATGAACTTTAGGTGTTCGTAAAACATCTACGATTCCACCAGACGTTCGTCTTTATGGTGGATTTCACGTGAACATCTAATGGTCATTTATATTATATCCATTATAAATATCTGTATAAAATTTATAATGGATGTTTAATAGAAATTTATTATGTATGATCAGGAACTCTTATGTGTATATATTTATATATATATATATATATATATATATATATCGGGGCTTTATAGACATTACCTAGCTGCTCTTATAAATAGATTTCAATCGGAGATGTAACGAAATATATTTAGGAAATATATTTAGGAATATAATAAATCGACGACATATATATTTCTTTTTTAATTAATACTTTATTTTACACTTATACTTGATAAAAACTTTAAGTAATGTCTATAAAAGCTTCAAAAAATCCATATTTCATATACATTTTATATTATATTGCATTTTATTACATATATTAACATTAATATTATATATTATGGCTTGTATCATATTGTTTTATATTCTATTGTAAATATATTATATCGTATTGTATTACAATTATATTGTATATTCATATAAAAAAAAAAATATGATATCTAAATATAATATTCTTATTTAATTCAAACTTTCTCTTAAGCACGTTTTTGAAGACGTGCTTCTTTTTCGCTCATTATCTACTCCTGATACAATAAAAATCTATATCTCAATTTTCCCATTTTCGCATTTTGATATCAGGAGAATATAATGACCAAAGAAGTATTCTGGATTTTTAGAAACTTCTCTCATTTCCTCAGTTTTCGGATTTTTGTATTAGGAACACATGATAACCGAAGAGGTATTCCGGACTTCTGGCGGGAATCTGGAGATTTTGCATCCTCTCAATTTTCGGATTTTTGGATTAGGAACACATGATAACCGAAGAGGTATTCCGGACTTCCGGCGGAAATCTCGAAATTTCTCATTTCCTCAGTTTTCAGATTTTTGTATCAGGAACATATGATAACCGAAGAGGTATTCCGGACTTCTGGCGGGAATATAGAAAATTCTCATTCTCCCAGTTTTCGGATTTTCGTATTAGGAACACATGATAACCGAAGAGGTATTCCGGACTTCTGGCTGGAATATAGAAATTTCTCATTCTCTCAGTTTTCGGATTTTCGTATTAGGGACACATGATAACCGAAGAGGTATTCTGGACTTCTGGCGGGAATATAGAAAATTCTCATTCTCCCAGTTTTTGGGTTTTCGTATTAGGAACACATGATAACCGAAGAGGTATTCCGGACTTCTGGCGAGAATCTAGAAATTTCTCATCTCTCAGTTGTCTTGTCGGATTTTCATATTAGGAACACATGATAACCGAAGAAGTATTCCGGACTTCTGGCGGGAATCTAGAAATTTCTCATCTCTCAGTTTTCGGATTTTCGTATTAGGAACACATGATAACCGAAGAGGTATTCCGGGCTTCTGGCGGGAATCTGGAAATTTTTCATTCTCTCAGTTTTCGGATCTTCGTATTAGGAACACATGATAACCAAGGAGGTATTTCAGAAATTTCTAGATTCTCGCCAGAAGTCCGGAATACCTCTTCGGTTATCATGTGTTCCTAATACGAAAATCCGAAAACTGAGAGATGAGAAATTTCTAGATTCCCGCCAGAAGTCCGGAATACCTCTTCGGTTATCATGTGTTCCTAATACGAAAATCCGAAAACTTCTAGCGGGAAACTGAAAATTTCTCATTGTGTCAGTTTTAGAATTCTTGTATCAGGAACGCATAATGACCGAAGAGGTATCCCGGCTTTCTGGGGGGAAATTTAAAAATTAAAATTTTCTCGATTTTATGTTTTCTTATCAGGAGAATATAAACAGCGAAGAGGTATTGCGAAAATCTTTAAAAATGTAAGTTTTACTCGATTTTCACATCTCCCTCCCTTTTTTTTTTTTATCACGGTGGGGAAATCCTCATGGATACCCCCGCCCCTTGGGGAGGGCGAGGGTTATGCCGGACTCTTACCGGCTAAAACCCCACCGGGGTGTCCACCAGAGGGCCGATGGATGGGGGACTAGAGGAATCTAACTTAATATTCCTTCTCCAGCCCCCCGGCCCTGGGGCTCGGTGACGAGCCCCTAGTCTAGTGTCGCGCCCCGAGAAGCGCGGCCCCTGACCGGGTAAGCCCGGCCAGGTTGGTTTTCTGGTGCTTGCACGTCGGTGCCGTTCCGGCACTGGCGGGCGACCGCAGGAGGGAGGGGAGACAGCCACCCTCTCCCTCTGCCCCCCCCTTGATAACTTGAAGAGGGGGGTTGAGGAGCGGAACCCGGCCCCAACCGGGCAACCCCGCTCCTCCCTTCCCCGTGCGGACACACGGGGGGTGTAACGCTCCCTTGTTCGCGGGGAAGATAGGGCTGCCTGCGCGAAGTCACAGGGGAGCGATTCACATTTCCCTATCAAGGGAACATAATTAGTGAAGAGGTAGCACTAAGTTTCCTATATGAAGGTTTAAAAATGTGCAAGTTTTACTCATTACTACGATTTTTGCGTTTTCAAACAAAATACCAAGCAACAAAGTACCACCTCTTATTAGTACTGCATTTTTCGCAGTAGATACGCGATAAAAAAGTTGTACTATTGGTTCTATAATTATAGATTTTAATATCACAAAATATTCACATTTATCGTAAAAGTCGCCGGGTGTTCTTATGATAAGAAGGAATATGCGTTTTTCTTGTACATTGAACTAACATGGAGCCGCACGCATTACATGATAGATCTAACCTAATCGCGCGACGACGCTTGCCTACTCGAATCTTCAATCCGTTGTGCCCGTGTCGTTGCAGAATAGCAGTCGGCGTGACATGGATGTGAGCTTCACGAACGTGTTAGAGGGGGCTCGCCAGTACTTCCAGGGATTGCCCGTGCCGAGTACAGGTGGTGGAGCCGCGTCGGTGGACCACGGCCTCGCGACTTCCTCGACTAATTCCGCCTCGTCCACGTCGACGACGACGCACGATCATGGCGCTTCGTCGCAGCCGGTGGCGGCACAAGCGACTCAGTCGATTTCGACCTCCAGCAACGGCAACAGTGGCAGCAGCGGCAACGGCAGCGGCAACGGGAACAGTATCCAAGAGTCGACTCGTTACTCCGCCGATATTAGACCGTCGTCGGTGGAGAGCGGTGCTACGAGTTCCGGTAGTTTCTGGAATCCCCACGTGGAACCTTACCCGCCGCAGCCGACCAAGGTCGAGGTACCGGACACGAGGCCGGGTGATGAAGGCGCCGCCATGGAGCCCAGTTCCTCCTCCACCATCACTTTAACCGAGATGCAGCCTTCTAATCACCATTCCTCTTCATCCTCCTCCTCCTCCTCCTCGTCGTCCGCCGTCGCCGCTGCAGCATCGTCGACGAACTACTCGCAGAGACCTCCGACGTCGTCGACTTCCTCCTCCGTCGACCACCACCATCACCACCATCACCAGCACCATCACCAACCGCACCACCCGCCGACGTCGAACCCGACGTCGCAGCTGCAGCACATGCAGCAGCCACCCCAGCCGCCACATTCCCCCGGTCCCGTGTACCAGCAGCTCAACAGCGTCAGCAGAACGTCCTTCACCGCGGCGGAGATGCTCGCGTCATCGCACACCCCGACCTACCAGACCGCCAACGACCGGCAATCGCAGCCGATCGTCGCGCAGAGGACTCAGTACTATCCGCGTTACCACCACCCGGACATCACCAAAAGCGCGCCGGCACCGTTCTCGCAGAACTCCATCTACCAGTCCGCCAACGTGACGCCAGCGTCCACGAGCTCGATCCAACAATCCAGCACGAGGCCGACTGCGGTGGAACAGAGCAACGCGTCTGGGCTCGTCCAGTCGCACTGTCTACCGGAGCAGCAACGGCTGACAGCCACGTACGGCAACGTGCCGCGGTCGCTGAGTCCTGTCGGCGGCTCCACGGTGTACGGGTTGGACTCGTCGTCCTCTCAGAGTTACCGCATGGCTCAGCACCATCAGTCAATCCGCTTAGCGGCTTCCGCGAGCGTCAGCGACAGATCGCATAACTCGGACGCAGCGGTCTCGCACTCTTCCATCGGCGCCGTCGCTTTATCCTCCTCCTCCGCCGCCTCCGCCTCCTCCTCCTCCTCCTCTTCCTCCTCCTCCACTTCGTACACCTCGTCGCCGGTGTGTTCCTCGGCCAACCCGTCGGCCAGCCCGCGTCAGCTCAGTGGCAGCTCCTCCGGTCACATTCCTTCGTCGCAGTCGCAGAATCTTCCGGGGCACATTCCTTCGCCGCATCTGCCGTCCGCATCCGCGGCGCATCATCATACTCAGCAGCAGCAGCAGCATCAGCATCAGCATCAACCGTCGCATCTGCAACAGCAGCAGCAGCAGCAGCAGCAGCAGCATCATCCTAGTCGTATAAACCCATCGCCGCACTCGCTCAACCCCTCGTACGGGGGTCGCTCGTTGGTCGCAGCCCCGCACGGCGCCTCGCCGTCGTCCTCAGCCGCGGCGAGTCACTCGCAGCAGCAGATGCCACCGCCGCCGACGGCGAATCTGAGCGGCTACCACACGGGCGTCACGACCCCATCGCCGCACGACTCGACGCACCACGCGACTCCGTCGCCTCACCACGCCACCCCGTCGCCGCATCACGCCACCCCGTCGCCGCACCGGCAGTCGCCCCACGTGTCGAACTTGCACAATCCCCACGCGTCGCCGCATCACACGCCGTCGCCGCACAGCGGCTTCCAGCCGCACTCACCGACTTATCCGCCGCCACCTCCTCCGCAGCCGCAGCTGCAACCTCCGCCTCCGCCTTCGTCGGCGCCGAGCCGGTCGACCTCGCACCCGTACAGCCTGCCGGCCGTCACTCAGCATTATCACACCCCGGTGACTTACACGAGCAACCCCTACGCGCCACCGCCGCCGCCTCCCCCGCCGCCGCCGCCGCCGTCGTCTCCGTCTTCGTACCATTCCTTCCAGAAGAGCCCAGCGCAGTCCCAGGGGAGCTACTACTCGCAGCCCAGTCGATCTCACAGTCAGCCATACAGCATGCAGCAGATGTTGGCATCATCGGCGCAGACGGTATTCCCCGGCAGCAACAGCCTGGCCAGCACAGCCTACCAGCAACAGCAGCAGCAGCAGCAGCAGCAGCAGCAGCAACAGGCCAAGCACGTGACATACAACGGCGCGGACGCGAAGAGGAGCGCGATGGACGTGGTCGCGGCTCCGTACGGCGCGAACTCCCATCGCACGGCCGCCGGTTCCGTGCAGAGAAGCAGCAACACGCACAACCTGCCACCCATCGCCGCTCTCTCGTCGTACCATTCCAATAGGAGCCGGGAGCCGGTGAGTGCCAAGGCGGCGCAGTCGGTGCAGCGTCAGCGGGCGCACCCGACCAGCAGCAGCGCGACCAACCAGGCCAAGGTGCCCGGCGCGATGCCGCCGGCCTCGTCGATCGCCATGCACCCACAGAGGCACGTCGAGTACCCGATCACGCCGGCGCTGATGAACCACGCGATCCCGGTCAACGGCAGGACCACCACCGTCACGAATTTGTCGTACGGTAGCCGCTACGGCGGCCAACAGAGCTACGCTCCGTCGTACGCCACGACGATGGCGCCTAGTCATCACGGCAGCAACTCGACCAGCAGCACCACGGTCACCTCCATCGGCGGCGGTACCGCGAGGTCTTCCGGTCCGGCTGGTGCTACGATGCACGCGTCTTATCATCAGTCTTCCGACGAGGCGGATCGGCCGGCGGGGTCGTCCTCGTCGTACCATCATCACCAGTCGTCGATTGGTAGTCGCGCGACCGACAGTTACGCGTACAAGGATTACCCTTACCACAACTCAGCGTCGTCCAGCGGGCAATCCGCCCCGCCTGGCGCTCTGGCCAGCTCTGCGTCGTCCAACAGCGCCGTGCGGAAGCGGGAGTCTCCTTTGGACCTGTCCGTGAAGACTGTCAAGACGTCCGCTGACTCTACGGCGCAGGACGACCTCGAGGCTAGCAGCACGGACAAGCACCATGTGAGCAGCTCGAGTTTGAGCGGCAGCAGGAGCTCGAGCTTGAGCGGCAGGCCGATGCAGCCGCCGCCGGCGGTGCAGCCAGCGGTGCAGCCGTCGCAGCCGTTATACCCATCGTCGTATGAGTCGCGGTCGTCGGGCAATAGCGGCTCCGGCAGCATGAGGAACTCGATGTCCTCGTGCATCCGCACGTCCACCCCTCTGGCGGTCTGCGCGCCCAAGGTCGACTTCTTGCCGGACTTCAACTCGACGCCGCTGCGCCACCACGCTCAGCCACCGCACGAGAGTACCCTGCGCAGGAGCAGCGCGCAACAGCAGCTGTACGTTGTTCCAGCCTCGCAGGCGTTGCCGTCGCACCACGCCAACAACAGTAGCAGCAGCAGCACCCCATTACCTCACATGTCCACGTTCAAGAAGCGTCCACTGCCCACGACGCAGCTGTACGACAGCCTGTCGATACCGCCACCACCACCGTCGTCTTCGTCGTCTTCGTCGTCCTCGTCGTCAGCTTCGTCGTACCCGCAGCCAAACGACTCCATGTCTTCGAGGTTCTCCAAGTACCCGTCGATGCTGGACCCAGCACGCGTCGGCTCGGCGGCATTGCCCGCGCAGGAGTACCCGTACGACCCGACCAAGTATTACTTGGACAGCAAGTGCAAGCTGAGTCCGCAGTATCTGCAGCGTGAGCGATCTTTCAAGAGACTGGGCGAGTCGTTACACGGCGGACCCAGCAAGCAACCGAAACTCGCTTGGCCGATATCCGTTGATAAACCGATCGAGCAGAAGCTGTCGGCTACGAGCGTCTTGAGCGAGCAACAGAAACGACAAGAGGTGAGCCTGCCGGTGGCTCTGCCGAACGGCGCGCTCATGACTCCGGCCGCCTACGAACAGCAGAGGCTACCCGACAGCGGCTACTCCACGCCGGAATCGTCGAGGTATCAGCAAGCATACTGTGATAAGAGAACCTACCCGGACTCCAAGGTCGTACGAAGTTCACCGACTTATGGCCACCCGGTGATCTCGAAAGTCGCCAACGTTCACTCCACACCTCAACATCTCAGCACCGTTCAGCCAACGTACACGAGCTACCGTCAGGCTCAGAAGATGGCGTGTCCGCCGGTGGGGGCGTCCGGCGGCCAGCCGATGGATCAGCCTAGCAATACCGGCGTCGACAAGAGGGTGTTGAACTTGCTGAGGAGCAATTTGGAGAACAAGCAGCAGAGAGAGGAGCAGTTGAACAGCCAACAGCCTATCTTGGTCAACCACAGTCAGCAGAGCTTCCAGAACAAGGTAAGACGACACTTGCACCTAGCGTAGTGAGTTTAACGCGTCGCGGCAACAGGGCGTCTCTCTGCGAGGAAGTGTATTTCGGGCGAAACCCCGGTTTAAGATCCGCCACACCTCTCGCGAGCACTCTAGACGCAGACGAATCAGCGAATCCAAACGAACCCGACGGCAATCGGAGAGACAGAGACGAACTCGAGCCCGGCGGCTCTTATCTAGACGCTCGACTTTATCATCCCCTCCAGATATCCACGATGATCCACGAAATTCCCCCTCCCAGGTCGTCGCGCCGGTCGAGCCGAAAAGCAACATCGGCCGGCACAACCTGTCGCCATTCACGGCTGCGAATCTACTGGAGCGTAACAGCAACACGCCGCCGCATTACAAGTTTCACATGCCGCGGGCGGTAGACTCGATCACGCAGGAGGCGGCGCCCCGCAGCCTGTACAGCTCGCGCCTCAACACGTCCGCCACGTTACCAGGCAAGGAGGCCCTCCTGGGACCTCGCGGCGCCGACAATCAGATCCATCGCGACAAGGACGACGGTCTCGCCGCCATCTTGGCCGCGAAGATCAGGACGAAGGCGGAATTGAAGCAAGTGCGTGTGCCTCTTTGTTGCCCTTGCCTGTCGATTAGCCGCGGCTCGCGGCGCGCGGCGTCGCGATTACTCACCTTGCGATCTCATGATTTTACCTTTCTGCTTCTGCTTCTGCACTCTCTCTCTCTCTCTCTAGGTCGGGACCGGCCACTTCGCGACAAAGGCACCGTTCTTACCGCCTCAGGACGCGTCGCCGACGGCGAAAGGTAATCAGACAGATTCGTAGGGTAGGGAACGCCAGTAGGATTATCAGCGGCCATTTTCAGTCACTCTCTGAATTTCTTCGAGCGAAATCGCACTCGGAGCGACCGTGAAAATCGACTCAAGCTCGGGGAGAGTAGTGAGAGAACGAGACTGGGTTCACACTGAAACGTGGAGCGGAGTTTTCATCGAGGCTGAATGTCGGAATAAATTTGGCCCCGTGACGATGGAGTACTGCGTCACACAGACACGCCGTTCGATTAGACGCGAAGATATCCGCTCGACGCTTCAGGGTTGTCGCACAGAGCGAAAGCATTCGCATGAGAGGAGGGGAGCTCAGCCGAATTCGAGCGCCTCTGCCTTCCGAGTGGGATTTCGAAGCTCGAAGAAACATGGACGGTGAGACGTTATAGTAGGGGCATGTTCGTCGCGCTCGGCGATCAGCATCGCGACTCGCTCGACTGCGACGATCGCGCGTGCGCGCACGCACGCGCGCTTCCCGTTCGGCCGCGTCGCTTGCACTCGATCGCGATCACAGGAGACTCGGCGACTTCGAGCCGCGCGTAATCTCGTTTATATTGCACGTAGCGACCGATAGCGCGGCCTCGACGTCGACGCCGCAGTCTGGCTCGTCCGCGGGCAGCCCGCCGAAATTAACGCGCGAGAAGACCACCTGCCTACCGCCCAGAAGACGCCTGTTCTCGAGGACCGAAGACGACAACATGCCGGTCGCGGCGACGGTGCCCGTCGCGGCGGCCGTGGCGGCGACCACGACGACGACGGCGGCGGTGGCGGCGGCGGCGGCGGCGGCGGCGGCGGCGGCGGCGGCGGCGGCGACGGCGGTCACGGGCGGCACGGTGGCGTCCGCGGTGCCGGCCAGGGCGAGCGGCTGCAGGAGCTCCTCCGAGACGTCGGTCTTTGACTTCCGCGAGAGCGACTCGGAGGGCGAGATGCCGGTACTCGAGCGGCAGACCCTGGAGGAGATGAGGAGGGACAGGAAACAGCTGTCGAAGGTGCAGCCGCCGGTTCCCCTGAACGACGCCGTCTGTATGAGCACCTCGACGGACCTGGTGAAGATCGAGCTCAAGGTATGTCGGACGGCAAGCCCAAAGAGACAGGCCACAATTAAAAGTCTCGGCGAAGCTGCAAGTCGCAATGGCGGTCACTTTTCGCGCTACGTTGGCTAAATCTCAGAGAGATGTCGTGTAAGATCGTCAGTCATTGTGCCTGATAAAATTTCAAGCGGAAAGAGAAAATTCTCCGAAATAGATAAATAAGATAAAATACACTTTTCTCTGAGATTAGCAACTTTTTGCCTATAGCGTCGCGGGAAATTTGACACATTGACGACGAATTTCACGTTGTAGCTAATAATTAATTGCTCCGGTGATGGAGGATAGCTGAGGTAACAGCGCGATCATCGGGCGTGTTTTGATTATTCGCAGGAGAACGATAAGATCAACGAGGTCGATCCGTTCTGGACAAATACCTGTGATAAGTTTATGGAGCAATTGCGTGAGAGGGAGACGAGGCAGCGAACACGTTTGCACGTCGGCGGTGGCGCGTCGTCGAAACACGAAGACGCGGCCGTTGAGAGCGACCGGGATTCCGACACCAACGCGCCGTCGCAAGCTCAGATTTGCCCCGGGAACATCAAGAAGGAGCCATCCTTCGGGAACCTGAGCGTTGAGGCCAAGGATGATGAGCCGCCAGAAGGGAAACTCAAGGAAGACGGAGACGCGGTCTTCAAGGTCAAGACCGAGGCCGTGGAGGCCGCCGAGCTGAGCAAGGACGACGACAAGCACTCGAGCGACGATTCGGACGAAGTGCCGTTGATTAAGAGAGCGACGAGGCACAAGGCGATCAAGAAGGAGGACAGCGACGGCGACGAGGAGGTGATATGCAGGAAGAGGCGGGTTCGCCGTGGCAGCAGGATCAAACTCGTCTCGTCCAGCGGCAGCGATTCCTCGAGCGAAGACAGCGACGGCAGCACCGAGTTCGGTCGCGGCTCTTCCGTGGCCGACAGGCTGCGCGCCAGGAAACGCTCGATGAACACCTGCGAGGGCGAAGGGATGAAGCTTCGTTCGAGGGACACGACTCCGCACAAGATGAACAATCCGGAGAAGGAGCCCAAGTTGTCTCCACCCAAAGGCGGCCCCTCCCAAAAGCGAAAGCCGAAGCCGTTGTTCGGCGACGGCAGCGATTTTCGACCCGGTTGGGAGGAGGAGGTCTACGTATATAAGAAATCCTTGAGGATGCCCACTAGGTTGATCACGGTGTCGAAACCGTCGCGTTTCCATCGGCTGTCCACGTCGCTGCCCGACTTGGACCCCGGCTCGCCGGCGTTGTCCGTCTCGATGGACAGCTCGGACTTTTTCCCGAGTCGTAAGAAGCTGATAGACAGCGACATAGAGTCCGACTACAGCTTCAGCATCGCCGGTATCGGCGGTAAGATCGACGACGAGGAGGCCACTTCGTCCACGACCGTTTCGTGTCCATCGAAAGCAATGAAGCACTCCCGCTGCCCGGAGAACAGTTCCATCGTTGACGTTCTTGCGCAGAAGGTCGGCAGCGACAAGATCGATTCCAAGAGGAAACTCAGCCCGAAAGGCAGCAAGGTCTTCAACAAGAGCAGTAACGAGCCCGAGCTCTTACCAACACCCAGTTTCACGCCACTGCTGTCGTCCGAGACGTCATCTAAGAGCTCGAGGAACAAGAATCCCTTGAAGAACAACAGGTCCTCGCTCAGGGTGACGGATTCCAACCTGCTCGGCTACTTCCGCAAAGAGACGGTCAACAACTTCCGCGACGCGTTCAAGAACAATCATACGTTGCCCAACGAGTTCTCCACTTTGGTGCTGAAAAGCAGAACGAGGACCGAGACCAAGGTCCTGAAGAAGGAGGCGACGATCCGCGAGGTCTTCGGCGAGGACAGACCAGCTTCGGCGCCGCCGATGCAGAACCGCGACGACACTTCCCAAGACGACGACTCGCAAAACGAGACGCTAGAAAGCACACTGAGCAAGGCGCGCACGTTAAAGCAGAGACTAGTCTCCCGCCTGAAGAACAGCAGTATTCAACGAAGTCGCAAGGTCAATAAGGTGATCGTCGAGAGGCAGAATGACTTGCTCAAGTCGATCGCGAACAAGACCCTGCGTCGCATCAAGACCGAGTTGGAGGAGGAGGAGACGGTACAAGAGGAGACGAACGACGCCAGGGAGGAGGAGAATAACGAGTTGGACGACGACAAGAACGACCCCGAGGCTCCCGGCAAAAAGAGACTGAAGCTTCGCACGAGCCGACGCAAATTCCGCTCCGGATTCGACTACATCCGCAAGAAGAAGAAGCCGATGAAGAGGGACGAGACCTTGCCGAAGGAGAAGAAGAGGGTACGTATACGACGGCTGATTCCTCCGACACGACTCTGTTCTCCTCCATCTTGAGGTCTCTCGCGGACGTTTAGTCCGCTTTCGCGACTTTCGTTCGTTAACTCGACTTTCGAATCTTGACGAAGACCAATTCATCATCAATTTTCGTTCGTAAGAACGCTTGACAAACAAACGCGACGCTTCGTCTTACAGCAAGTACTGTCGAGGCCCAATCCAGAGTGCGTGGGCGACATCCAGTCGGAAATCAGGACATGGGTTATCAAGAAGGGAGTCGGCGAGACGATCTTGCACCGTGCCGCCAGACTGGGTTACACGGTGAGATAACAGTCGCGTAACAGCGACTTGAGTAACAACGCCGACCAGCGATTCGATCTCTAATCCGCTCGTCTTCTTTCCTCGTCATAGGACGTGGCCGCTTATTGCCTGGAAAAGCTGAACAACATACCAAGCCCCAAAGACAACGCTGGGTATACTCCGCTCCACGAGGCGTGCTCCAAAGGTCACCTGGAGATCGCGAAACTCTTGCTGGCTTACGGTGCAAACGTCAGCGAAAGCGCCAACGGCGGTATCAGGTAACGTTCGTCAACTCGTCGATTCCCGCGATCGCGATTGTTAGAATGGACCTGTTATCCGCTTGGACACGCCAGACAGTCCTCTGTTAAAAAGTCTTCTGGTAAAAAATTCCTCAAGGTTTTTGTATCGCAGTGTGTTTACAGTGTATCCGTCATCGTCATCATTTCCAATCATTCTTGTTGAAACGAAAATTTGAACAAAGATCGACAAAGGTGTCTGTCGGCGTCCAGACGGATAATGCGTGACGAATAGTCAGTCGATCATCTCGACAAAAAGCAAGCAGCAAATATATCTTCTTCGCATTGCCAGGCCATTGCACGAGGCGGCGGAGAACGGTGTCACTGAGCTCGTACGGTTGCTATTGTCCTACGGTGCTGATCCACTATTAGCTACTTACTCCGGACAAACGCCGATGATGTTGGCCGTTGACACCGAGGCTCACGCTATTCTTGAGCAGCACTTGGATGACGTTCAAGGTCGCGCCACCGTCCCATGGTCGTTCTCCGCTACAAATATTGGTGTCGGTACGTGCGTGACGGCGCGAGTTTTCTTCTATTTACTTGGCACGAGAGCCTCGATAGAAATCGTGACAAGTATCCCAGAGACTTTTCGTTAATTCTTGGCCGATTTGTATTCGCAGATTCAGAGGAGACGGGCTGCAACCCGCTCGATGAAGTCCCGTTGGGCAGTCCCGAGTCGAGCTTGGACGACGTCGAGATGGAAGTGAGCGACATCAATCTACCCGCCCTGTTCACCCTGAAGAACGACTCGGAAAAGTGGGTGTTGCTTCACGACCTTATGGCGATCTTGAAAGTGAAGAGCCGCGACGCCCTCCTGCGTCAGATCAATCCGAAGGCCCATTCTGGGCCGCCGGCGGTCGCCCATCGCGAGGTTATGCGCGAGCTGAAACTGCCGGACTTTCTGGAGCAGACGCGCTGCTGCCACTTGCTGAGCGGCGGCGAGAAGATCAACGTGCGTGGCTCCAAGGTTACGCTCATCAAGTACAACGACAAGGTCAAGTCCCTACTGAACGTGGAGAAACTGCTGATTAGTCTCAGGTGACAGGAGGCGTCTCTGGGGCGATCGTCTGCTCAAGCGAGACCGTCGACCTCGATTCTTCCGGTCAAGGAGCACCATAAGAAAAGCGATGGCAGGAGCAGTGCCGCCGCTGTGAAGCGCGAACGCCAGCCAGTTTTCCGGCAACGGAAGCGATAGGAGGAGACACGCGATGAAAACCCGGCTGATCGATCGATCGATGATGATGATTCGTGAGATGCAACGTCGTGGGCATCGCCATTCGGTGCTGGAGATCGAGTTGAGGAGGAGAACAAGTTCCTGTTACGCGCCGAGAGAATTCGGACGGCCGACTAGCGCGTTCTGCTCATCGGCGACAACGGATCGTCCCGGAAGAGAGAGAGAGAGAGACATCTGACGCAACGCTGAAGCCGGCGCTTGCACTTGCGTGTCTACAGACATTCTCCGGCGTTCCTCTCGGTCCGCTTCGAAGGTAAAACCGGCGGCTTGATCGGTATCGACGATCGATCCTCTCCTCGCGAGATCTTGTCTTGTAGTGCACGAATATGAGGTCTGACCGATGATAAGAGACGCGTACAATCGGTTCCGTTCCTTCGCGCTCGAGAGCGTCGAATTACGAGTCCGTCGATTCTCCGTCACGCGCGCTCCGGTTATCTCTGACGCGTGTGTGATGGCACTTTGAGAAACTTCGAAGCTCGTACCGGTGCAAATGTAGTTTTTAACGAAACGATTGTCTACCTGACGCGCAGCTAAGAGTGAGGACAATGGGAAAATAGCTACCTGTGACATTATATAGCAGTATTTAATTCGGATACACGCGCGTGCATCCATAGAACGATGATATTTTATTAATTCTCTTAAGGACTGATTAATTAATATCAGAAACGTTTGTTAACGTGTGACGCTTTTTAGGCGAAGAGAAAAAAAGAGGGAAGTATCGTTTATGAGGCGCAACGACATGGGAAGCAAAAGAAAGACCTCTCGACCAGAGAGCTGTGAGAAAGAGTGCAAGAGACAGAGAGAGAGAGAGAGAGAGAGAGAGAGAGAGAGAGAGAACGAGAGAGTTTTTCTCGAGCGTCGTCGAGTCTCGGAATGGTAACAACGTTAGTAGTAATTAATGAATTAGCCTGGGAGAAAAGCGCGGCCGTCGTATCGGATATATTTTTATCTCGCACGTGGCTCCGCGCGAGGTCTCTCCCTTTTTTTAAATCTTTTCCTTTAGGGAGAATCGTCCCGAGAAGACTCGTGGAACTGGAATGCGCATAGCAGCGCATTTCATATGACGCTCCGTGTGTATGTGTGTGAGAAGATGCTTATGCGTGCGTATACGAGTGTGGTGAGTGATGCGGTATGCGCGCGTATTATAGCGTAGTTTTCCTCTTTGAACTCTATTACGGAACGCATCGTTACATTTAGAATACAAGGATGAGCGTTTAGGAGACAGCGTGACATCGAAATTGCTGATCATGTTACCACGATTTTTAGTCTTACATTTCCGTTTTCTCCTGCCTGCCGTTTTTTACTCGAGGGAGTCGAATGTTGTATTTATGAAGTTCACCAATCGCGTTTCATTCATCATTGGACACATGCTGTAGGTGCTCTCGCGCGAAAGTGATTTAGGTTTCAATCCGTTGAGTCCGGAATTACTATTTCGCTCGTTTTAGAAGGTACTAGTAAGCACTAGTAAGCACTAGTATTAACACTGTTATTTGTTGACGAGTGGAAAGGTGTCTAATCTATCTCTCGACGAAGAAGATCGGCTCACACATGAGAACGTCGACTCTTGGTTCGAGAGAAGGAGCTACCCGTATACTGTAGTTTCCGGAATAGCGGTCAATTTGAATTCGAATAAAAGGGATGGACTCGGCGAACGTCGATAGCTCAATTCTAACGAAATGGGAAGTGCAATTCACTTGAAATGAGTTTTCTTGTTTCTCCTTTCTTTTTTTGTTGATTGTCTATGTGAATCGATCGATGTTCTTAGGAATTATAGAGAGAAAGAGAGTATGTGTGTGTGTGTGTGTGTGTGTGTGTGTGTGTGTGAGTGTGAGTGTGAGTGTGAGATAGAGAGAGAGAGAGAGAGAGAGAGAGAGAGAGAGAGAGAGAGAGAGAGAGAGAGAGAAATGTACGAAATTATATTATTACGAAGGGTAATAATAATTCGGCTGAACACCGTCGAACAATGCTCACTGTGCAATAAAATGTAACTATTTTATATTTTATCGTCGAGTTACTTCTGTTTTGTGTGATGAAACGGAGCAATGTGTTAACGCGTCTTATCGGTGATCAGAAACTCACTGACGAGGTAATCTCCGAGATTAGGAAAAATTTCTTGTACCACGTGGGGCGAATGACGCAAGGATATCACAACGCGATCGAGGATAACGAACGTGCGATGAAATACAACGCGAGTTGCGCGAGAAAGTTCAAATTAAAGATATTTAATAGGCGCGCGTATTTTTATTCTGTATTTACACATGCGAGTCGGCGAGATAAATCATGAAGGAGGGGGGGAGTAGAAAGAGAGAGAAAAAGAGAGAACAGTGAATTTCTATCACCGAGACGACGTCGTGTGTTCGATCGAAGCAATCTAGGATGATAAATTTTAGCGGAAAGTGAGGAGAGCTATTTTAAATGTTGACAGAGTGAGTTCGTCGATAGTACTTATCGTCGTGCCGCAACGTCCCTTGTACATCGATCTTTTCGTGTGCATATGGACATTACGGGACGGGGTATAAAGAGAGAGAGAGAGAGAGAGAGAGAGAGAGAGAGAGAGAGAGAGAGAGAGAGAGAGAGAGAAATAAGAACGGAAGAAAAGAAAGAAAGAAACAAAGCGTGTGGAAGGCTCGATTCGCAATGCTTGGGAATAACGCGTTTAATTTTGGCGCCGTGCACAGAGGTTTCACTCCTTATAATCAGTCTCAGGGAAAAATCCACGTGTATTCTGAAAATAATAAAAGAAGAAAAAAAAAAGAAAACTGACGGTGTACCGTACGACGGACGACGTATGCGTATGTGTTATGCGTATGCGAGCGACGCGTATCAGTATGCATGTATGTATGTGTGTGTACAGTAGTTAGTTAAAGAGAAGCAGAACCGTTCGCTATGATTAGGATTAATTAATATCTGATAGACAATGATATTAATTAATGTTAATTGATGTCGATTCTCGTGACGTACGTGTGTGTACGTGCGAGAAACGTTTTTAATTTTATTTATCTGACGAGTACACGCGCGAGAGAACAGAGACGTATGCGAGCGCGCGCGCACGTTTACTACCGATTGTACATACCGACCTATTTTCAGTAAAGAAAAAAAAAAAAGAAACGGAAGAAAAAAGAAAAAAGAACCGTGAACGAAATAGAAGATAGAACAGAGCGAAACGAATAGGAGGATTAATTTTCCCATTCTCTCTCCCCCCTTCTTTTTCTCCGCTCTGTGCGTTCGCTCGCAATTTCCGTACGGTAATCTTCTCCTCTCGGAGCCGTCGAAGGACGCGGGGGAGAGAACGGTAGGAAGGAAATCGAGGTGTACGTATTGTATATGTATCTTTTACCCTAAATAGAGACGCGACACGTAAGATGTAATAAGTAGAACCGCGGTACTTGTTCATATTAGCGTATACTGTTCGTGTAATGTAAATCCATTAACCGACCTCGAAGTAGTCGCACACTGTATAATACTATTACTATCACACACTCTACCGCGATCATCGCTACCTACTTTTACCGCTGCTACCACTACTATTACCGTTAACTATTACCACCTTCGACTACCCGCTTTTTTATTATACGATATACATAATAGTTAGAGATGAATGTACATTTTCTTAGTTATGTAATGTTCACACATCGCCCCCTCCCCTTCCCCACGACTCGTCCCCCCGCCCCTCTTGTAATTTATATATTCAAGAAACGTCTTTAAATGTGTTAATGCTGCTGCTTTGCGGATAAAGAAATTATATATAAATATATATATATAAAAAAATATATATATATAAAAAGATGAACAAATATAAATATAAGTAAATATATATATATATATTTTATTTCAGAGATTTAGTTCGAAACGACGTTGATGCTGATGAACAAATTAGAGTCTTACTGTGATTCGTGTAAAGAGGAATAATTAATGAAGGCAAACTATCGTTATTATTGTCATCGCCCATAGTCGTTATAAGTGAAGTCGCGACGAACCCGACGAATGATTTTCGTAACGAGAAAAGAACAGACTTGTGATTTTCCTTTCGCTAATAACAATTACGAGTTATCCGTTCGATGTAATAAAAACAAATATTTTTACCGAAACTCTTATTCCTCTCCCCGTCAATTTCAGCTATTACCTCTGTTTTCTCCTTTCTCTCTCTCTCTCTCTCTCTCTCTTTCTCTCTCTCTCGAAATGTCGATAAAATTATTCTGTCTTCAGACGGAATCGTGCTCATTCGCTCTCGCTAATTGATTTATTCGTTAACGGAATATCGCGTTAGAAGCACTTTGCGAAATTAAATTCAGCTCAAACTCTTGATTAGCGTCAAGAATCTCTCTGGCTGCCACCGAATTAACTTTTACGCTGCTGTACCGTCACTAATACGTATCGTGTGTATCTCCATCGAGAGATTTTTATATGTTTCGCAGAATAAGAGGGAATTGTACACGACACACACATTTATACACATACACACACACACACACCACCGACGGTAATTAAAATTGGTAAAACGTTTATTAACTATTTAAAAACGATGAAACAAGGTGAACATGAGATTTTGACAATTCAATAAGTAATATTATTAAATAGACTATAGAGGTGTATAATAGGTATCTGCGATAATTATTCTCTTTTATACGGTCTTTTACATCGAGATAGACGTCTTTCAACTCGGCGAAGCCAGGCCCTCCGTCCTTCAGGCACAAGCTGAAGCTCGTCTCGCTTCTTCGTACCTCTCGTCACACTTGTCTTGTTTCATCTCGCAGTCGCGCGCTTAATAATAATTCTAGGACTCGCGGTAGGAAAAAATAGCTCGAAAGCGTACCGTCCGCGCGAGATTATCGTTCGTTCCCTGCGTAAACATTACTACGAAATAAGGGGGGCGGGAAGGGGAGGGGAAAAAAGAAACGTTCGGCTCTATTCCAGATTAGAAGCGATCATCGCGCGTCGTCGAGGCCTCGCGACCCGTTTCGTTCGCGCTTTCGGGCTTCACCATTATTCTTGCCGTCATTAGCGTTATCACTACCTCAGCGTCGTTATCCTCACCGTTATCATCATAGTCATTATCAGCATCGTAATCATCAACATCAGTATCATCATTTCCGTGGCCGCGACTAACGTTACCGTGTCACGACGGCTATACATGCAGAGATACAACTATATTACAATTAAATCGCCGCAATGACACCGTGTGGCAATTCGACTTTCCTGCTCGCGTTTCCACCAGGGGGGTAGGGGAAGGGTTTCTCTATCGTCATACATTTGCGCGATTAATGCTATACGAAAACGGAAGGAGCAAGCGGACAAAGTGCCGCGGCGACGAAGCGATGCACGCACGCGTGCGTGCGCGCGCGTTCTCGTGGCCCCGTGAACGAATGAAAGCTAAAAGCGGAGTGAAGGGAGGCGGCGGCAGCGGCGACGGTATCCTTACGTAATCGAGAGTCGCCGCTCGGGTTAGCGAATTACCGGGTGAAAAAACGTCAAGAGTTCGCGCTCTCATTGTACGGCGAAACGGCACCGGATCCGCAAATGGAATCCCGATCGAGTCTGTGTTTTTCTTTTCTTCCTTCCTTTCTCCCTTTTCCTCTCTCTCTCTCTCTCTCTCTCTCTCTCTCTCTCTCTCTCTCTCTCTCTCTCTCTGTATCTCTTGCGAGCGCAAGAGTCTTCGTCCGTTTGCGCCTTACGTGATTCTCCTTCGACCGTCGTAAGTACATCGTATCGAGCGTTGGTTTCCCGTCCTCTTCCTCTCTTTCCTTCTCTCTCCCTCTCTCGTTCAGCAACCAGTCGCACCGGTTCCGCCAAAGATACACCCGAGCCGGACCGCGACGTCTCATCGACGCGGGCCACCGAGATCTCCGGTGTTGGGCGCTGCGCGTCGAGACACGGGGCGGCATGAACAAGTCGCTTTTTCGTGTCTCAACGCGCAGCGCGTGTATAGCATGCGAATACCTGAGCGTAAACTCTACACCGTCGCGCGCCGGAGATCTCTCCCCCGTGACAATTGTCGTCATTGTCGTCATCGGCTCGGCGCACCGGGCGCGCGCGTCTTCCTCTCGCCGGGCTCTCTCCTTCTCTTACCTCTCGCTTCTCCCTACGGCCCGTCTCGACACACACACACACGCGAAAATTTATGTGTATTTACAATAATATATACCTACTATCGTAGCAATAATTTAGTAGTGATATTTAAATTACAATAATGTTTTCTTTCTGTTCCTTTTCTCTTTCTCTCTTCCCTGTTTCTCTCTGTCCTTCTCTCTCTCTCTCTCTCTCTCTCTCTCTCTCTCTCTCTCTCTCTCTCTCTCTCTCTCTCTCTCTCTCTCGTGCACGTTCTCCTACCTGCCTTGTCCGTCGCGCGTCTCACCTCCACGCAAATATAATGTTGCACATAACCCAGTTACTGGCTTAGTCATCTAGCTGTACAAAACATTATATACCGCTATGTGTCTAACATCTAAAGATTTGTCCCGTGAGGTTTCTCTCTTCTCTTTTTTTCTGCTTTTTTATTTTGCGTGTGTTTCTTTGACTCGTGAGGTTCGTCTGCGGCGAGCACAACGTCGCTCCGCGCGCTGGGACTACTGCTCTGATCATCCGCGCGCGCTCCTCTCTATAGTCGTGTGTTGTACCGTTTAGTGTTCCTCTCTTTCTCCTCTTTCTCCTGCGTGCTCAGCTCTTCCCGCCACGACGTTCGCGTCGCAGCGACGTTGACTGCGCTTGTTAAGTACATTAAAAAATACCGAGCGCGACCGAGCAAGTGGACGCTTGGCGCGGTCAAACGGCTCGACCGAGCTCTCTCCTCCGACTTGGGGAGGCTACTGCGACTTGGCCGCGCTATAATTCGGTCTTCGGCCTGCCCGGGTCAGTCGGGCTTGTCTCGAGGAACGAGGCGGCGAACCGGTGGCCGTTGCGCGACGAGTCGCCGAGGAAGTCGCGCGCTCTCTTTCCTTCTCTCTCTCTCTCTCTCTCTCTCTCTCTCTCTCTCTCTCTCTCTCTCTCTCTCTCTTTCTCTGTCATGCGCGCGTGCACGCGCGAACGCACAGAGCGCCGCCACCGGTTCGCGTGAGGTTTAATCTTTCTTCTTCTTCTGCCTTTGTATTCGCTCTAATTAAAATTAAGGACGATCACACACGAACAATCGACGATCATGCGATACGAATTTACGAATTTCTCTCCGCGCCCGTCGCGTCGTCTCGGGATCAAGCTCAACGTGAGCGCGCGCGGGCGCAACCCCTCCCTCCCGCATTCCCCTCGCGGCGATCTTCCTAGCGGGGAGGAGTGTGAATGACGCGTCCTGACCGACTTAGAATTATATCGATTTTCGCGCGGAGGCTGGGGCAAGGAAAAAGGCGTGATTGAGGGAGGTGAGGGAAGGATTGGTCGGTCATGTTGGTTGTCGTGTGGCCCGCGTATTAAATATTAAGTAATCTTTCGGCTCGAATCCCTCGCGACGGTCCGCGTCGCGTCGCGTGTCTCAAGTGGGGAACCTTGTGCTACATTGCGTAGGCGATCGAAGAGACACGGTTGGGTGCGGGAGGAGTGGGTGGGAGGGAGGAAGGGACGAGGGACGGGGAAAGGCGTTGGAGCGTTACTTAATTGTATTTATCGTGAGTAATTAAGCTTGACGCCTCGGCGGCAGGGTCCAAGCGTTGGGCCCATGCTGAGCGTGGGGGGCAGGACGTCACAGTTGCTGGTCCCTGCAGGGCACCCAGATGTTCGGTCCTGACTGTTCGGAGATGACCTCTTTCACTTTTATGTAGATCTCCTCGGGGGTGTCACCTTGGACGACGGCTGCGAACAGAGTACGGGGGGTATCATTTGATTGCGCGACGGCAATAATACCGCGGTTATCAGGCACGGTTGTCGTGTTCTCTTTGTATTCTCTCTTTGTATCTCCGTCGAGCCATGTCACGCTGTCCGGAATGCTGCGTGGTCGCGACACTTCGAAGTGAAGTGCGCTTTGGCCGAAATGCCGTTGGCGTACAAACACAGATATGTGCTCTGTCGAACTCACCAGTAAAGTATTCACCAAATTCTTGTTCCATCTTCAGAGCGCGTTCGTACGTTTTCTTCGCCTGATCCTCTGTCATTCTCTTGTTCATCTCCCTGTGCAGCGAAGGAAACAAAGATTTCGACATAGGAACATAGAACGACGGTAACGACGAAATCGCAACATCAGATCAAAGACCGATCATCGTGCAACTCACATGACTGATTCCACTGATTTCGGCTTGATGAAGATGGCAATGGGATAGAGTTGCGCTACTTGTAACCTCTTGATAGCATTTCCACTCACATCAAGAATACAGTGCTTGCCCTGAAGGGAGAGATCGCAAAGTTGTCATTATTTCACGTCGACCGGTACACACGTTACATGCCGTTAAAAAGCTATGGACTCGTCGAGGCCACACGTACCTTCTCGGCGACTTCTCGCACGGACGCAACGGAGGTTCCGTAAAGATTGTCGTTATACTGTCCGGCCTCTATGAACAAATGATTCTGTATGTCTCTCTCCATCTGCTCCCTAGACGCCACGAAGTGGTAATCCCGTCCGTCTACCTCGTACTCCCTTTTACACCTCGTCGTGTCTGCGGAAAAGACGCGCAAGTTTCGCTTAGACACACACTTGATCCATACCGTCACCGAGCGACGATCGTCGCGAAAATATCGTCGCCAACTCACGTGGGACACAGCTGCCGAACTTGTCGGGGAACTCGGAGATGAGATCGTCGTTGATGCGATCCTTGAGCGGTCCGAGGACTATCACGGGACGCGTGTACTGTATCGTCAGCTGCTGCACCGCCTCGTACGACAACACGTTCTCTTCGCTACCTGCAATCGTCCGATCGAATGTACACCCGGCTCCTCCACGCGCCCCCCCCCGAAACGGAGGGGGCGAAGGGAGGCTTGCCGAGTCGTTAGCAGCAGCAATCTCACACATTCTCCTTTAAACCTCGACACAGTCTCGCGCGCTCAGCGAGAAAAAAAGAAGCAACACACGCACACGCACACGCACACACAACACACACACCCACTCCCGAAAACAAGCTCGACGGCGACAACGATCCCCGTTTCCTCCGTTGAGAGACGAGGAGGAGCCTTTCGCTCGACCCCTCGCGACGTCACTGATTAATCGACTGTCATGAGAAATGGACGCGGGACAATGTTGTTACGCGCGCGCACACGCACACGCACACGCACACGCACACGCACACACACACACACACACACACACACACACACACACACACACACACACACACACCACACACACACACACACACACACACACACACACACACACACACACACACACACACACGCAGACACAACGCGGAGCGCTCGTTCGGAACCATTTTCCCGGCTATATCAATCGTGGCCAGATCAGATTCCGCGCGCGCGACAAATCGCTCCTCCCGTCGACCCTTCGACCCCGGCGGTTCCTGAACTCCCGCTCCGCTCTAGCGTCTGCTCGGACGAATACACGTTTCCTCTTTCGTTGGACGAGACACGAGCATGCT